AAAATTTAGAAAAATGTATTCGTTGAAAAATGCATGATTCGTTTTCAGTGTCATAAAATCTATCAGATTCACCTACTCTGCTTTTTGTAACTGACAGAAGCTCAAATTTCACAGGCCTGTGTAATTATTAAAAATTGACTCGTAGATGAAACAGATAATTAGTTAATTTAATTTTTAAAGAGAATAAAATTTTATTATAAGTTGGGGAGAAAAATCAATATAATTAAATTATATATTAAATTATATATTAAAATTGACTTGTATCTGACATCGATAGATTGCTAATTACTCATATACATTACATTTTAACTCATATATTACAGTTAACTGATAGATTATATTTATTGTAGATTATATTTAATTATTTTTGTTAAATAACTCTAAAGTAACTATTAAATATTATTTTAAAAAATTTATTTATTCTATATATGTGAGGTTTATGTATTTTATAATCGACTTTCTCTTTCAAATATTAGAAATTTTGTTAATTATTTTTAGAAATTAGAGAATATACAATAAAACTTCGAAATAGTCTTTTTTTCTTGTATGGTTTAGATTGGTATCAATGAATAAGATCGAGTCAGATTTAAATTTACTACCAATTAATTGCTTGAGGATTAAAAAAATGTTCTCTTGGATTCTCCTTAAGAGAGCTCTATTCTTCTTTCTTTCTCTTTTATGTTTTTTAGGAGAAGATTTTGAGTAATAGCTTACTCTTATAGTAAGTGAGTGAAAGAGAAGAGAAAAGTAAACGAGTACGCATAAAAGAGGAGTATAAAAAATAAATGACTAAATGAAATTGTGGAAAAAAATGAGAAAAATGTTGAAAAAGATCTGGATTTTATAGGATCAAAGGAAAGAATATATTACTAAGATGATTCCAGATTAAGGATGTTTTGTATGTACAATCACAGCAAAAAGTAGCTAAAAATCAATATTGACGAATATATCTACTTTTGGTGTATTTTGAGTAAGAAATTGTGTGGAATATTACAATTTGATTTTAGCTACAGTGCAGAGATGTATTTTTTAATATTTATTGCGTTTTTATTAAAATATTCCGAATTTTGTTAATCGAAATGATTAACTTTTTGCAGAGAATTTCGCCTTGTGACAGATACATGGCTAACTTCATTGAATTATATTTAATATCTTTTTAACCAGTTAGTACTTATATAATATTATTTGACAAATATTTCCTATGTATCTAAACTTTTACAAATTTTAAACAAATTCTGAATATTATTTCCATGTGTTTTTGTCATTTGAATCGACGTGGTTATATGTTTTCCATAAGAATACATGTTAATTCGGTGCAAATTAAAATTCTTATAACTTGTGAACGCTTTAGTGAATCGATTTAAAAATTGTACTAAAGATTCTAAACATATGCAAGGACATTCTGTACAATTTTCATTAAATTCTCAATATTTTGAAAATAAGTACAAAACATCCTTGAGATACGTGAGCATTCCAATATTATATTAAACGAGGATGATTTTTTGAATGTTAATAGGTCAATTAGAAACTTCCTTTTAGTTAAAAAGAAATAAATCCAGAATTTGTGATCTATGTTTTAAAGAGGCTCCAAAACTCAAATCTAAAAGTCCAAATTGCATCGATATAAACTTTGTTTAATTGTGAATAATGATCGCTTTTTATTCTATGGCAGATTGTAATATTTTCACTCAGCTTTTTAAATTTAGAACCAAGATTTAGAGTTGAGTTCCTTGAAAAATTAAAAATATTTAGATTCACTTTATATTTAGCTTGTGATTTAAGTTATTTGAATTGTCAATGTAGTTTTGTGTTGGAATTGTAAAGAAAATGTGAAAACAGTTCTGTCTCATTATTTCTTAACTTAGACATTAAGTTTATTTCTCTCTTGGCTAATGAGTTTGCAATTTTGTTACTTAGAATCCCAGAGTGTGAGCTGGTATTCAAACTGTGATATTCTCTAATCTAGTAAGTTTTTTTTATCATATAATTGCTGCCTGATTAAATGAATAACGTAATTGTAAGAGTGATCGAAGCTAAAGAGAGTGTTACGCTAAGAGAATGAAAATTTACTTTGGAATGGATTGATTCTAAAATATATTTAAAGAATAAAGACTCTCGAAAGTTCCGCTGAAAACATCGATGGAATGTGTTTTATTAAAAACAGTTGAATGTTGATACAAAAAGGAAGTAAATGGAGAATTCTATGAGTTACTTATGTTGATTTTGGAAGCGTCCGTGAAAAAGGAAGTATAATCTCGTAGCAGGTCATACAAATCGGAAAAACAAGTTAAAAAATGGAAAAGTCTAATGTTCGTCTCGAGAAAATCTGTAATTTTAATCGAAGGAAATGAGACAATAGCTCAATATTCAATGACAGACTGAAGGGTAAACAAAGTTAGCAATATGATTTTTTTATTTGGAGTACAAAATGATTTATGTAATAAAAAATAATCTACTGAATTATTTTTGCGAGAAATATATGCGCCCCATTAAAAATAGAACAGTTTATCTACTGTAAAATGGAATGTTCTCTCAAGAGAATATTTAAAAAATATCTGAAGAAAAAAATGGATGAATTTCATTTCAAGCGAGCTGTTCCCAGATTCAGCTAATATTACATTTGTGCTTCTCTTGAATTTCTAGTTGAACGGAGTGCTTTAAATTAAATTTTATTTTTAGCTGATATATTGTTGAGTGATTGTTATAAGGCAATATTAAATATCCATATTCCAGATTTTATTTAGCCGATATGTTCTTGAGTGATTGTTATAAGACAATATTAAATATCCATATTCGAGCTTCTAAGGCTTTATAAATATTTAATAGAAGGCAAGAACTAGCTCTCCAGGGATACTAGATACCACTTAACATTTTGGAAATATTAAGCAATTTAGAATAATGATTAGCGGGGTATGATAATAAAATATATTCTATATAAATATATTCTTTCTCAGAAAGACAGAAATCTAATCTAACAATAAGAAAATTCTTAAAAATTTGCATGAAACTTATAGGAATTTGTTAATATGATTGACTCAGGATTGATGGAGTAAAAGAAATAAATAGTACAAACACATTTTTTTATAAAAATGAGCAAAAAAACTTAGAGAAAAAGATTGTGAGGCTTTTGGAAGAGAAATATTTATTTAAGCTCTAATAGCAGCTGGTTTTCGTTTCCAGAGTTTACTTGAAAAAATTTTTTGTAGATTGTTGTATTCTGAAATTCATCTGAAATTTCATCTGAAAATCGAATTAATTCGTAATTTTTATCAATATGTTTCTTCAATTTGAATATATACATATTGAAAAGCGTAAAATTTACAATCAATTCTAGCAGTACTCTTGTAAAAATAGAATTCTTTGGATAATTTCTCATTTACAGAAAATTGAATTTTAAAGTAATGGAATGATAAGAATGCAGAAGATCATAAATTTCAATTAAATGAGAGCAAGATAAGTCTTTTCATTTAATGAGAGGTGTCTCTAATTTGTGGGAATAAAAAAATCGAAATTTAATAGATATATTACAAAAATTAACGAAGGGATACTATTGTATTTAAGGATCACTATTTAAAGAGTTTGTTTTGAATGTAATTGTCTCAAACAGCGTTTGCTATTTGACTTGTTAGACTGTCAGATAGTTTTCGAAGGAACTTATAGGAACTTGTATACTCATAAAGAGTACATAAGGATTATATCTGAAGAGACAGTGATCGAGGAAGAGTGGGAATGAGATATCAAAAAGTCATCATGAGCAAACTGTTATTTATGGAGAAATTGAATTATCTTGAGTCGCTTCGAAAAGTGCATTGCCCATTGTATTCAGGATTGGCAATGTAAGAGGGATGAAGTGTTAAAATTCTTGTAATCAAAAGTTTGAATGTAAGGAATAGAATAAAAAACTTTTCCCATATTCTAGGTTCAGAATTTCGGATATCAATTGATATAAGAATTTTTAAACGTAAGGATTTTGATAGTTAATGTCTTCAAAGATTCTTCAATGAAATATATAGGTTCTCATAAATAAAATTCTAATTTTTTTTACGACGATTATACCTCATCTGATTTGATATATGGAATGTAAGATTTGAAAATTTTATAAATTTGGAAGCTAGTTGCGGCTCATTCGAAATCCATCCTTTTCTATCAGCACAGTGGGGACATTATTACTATTCACTAGAAGGATTTTAAGAAATGGATTCTGTCATTCATATATCACTCTATAGCGTTGTGCTCGTTAGTGTCGTTTCTAACAGAAGGCCAGTCGGAAGCCAGTATGCAGTGCATGCGAATACTTCCGCCAGCATTTATTTGGTCGACAAGCGGCTATTTAGAGGCTCTCTGTGGCAATCGGCATTACATACATCGAGAGTGAGATTCCAACATCGCTTTGGAGTGTAATCACTGTGTTAAAATAGCGGCATTAGATTGTGTGTAAGGTTTGGATAGCTCAGGTTTAGACCAGTTGCAAGAAAGCAAACAATTCGGGGTTCAATTCCCGATCCAATCACTTGCACCTCACATATTTTGCTAGTCCACAAATATTGTATTCCAGCAATTATTCGTTGAACTGAAAAATGTATGAATGCTCTTTTTACAAGATGTGCGTCGATTCCGTTGGATGGATTCTGTCACTCATAGATCAGATGAGCGTATAGACATGCCCTCCCTCAAACATCCCTATCTTTATTTTAAAAATTCTATAAATTGAAGCTCTAATCGAGAAATAACTATATTTTAGAGAGTGTTTAATATATTTTTTTATTTCTTAATCTATGATAATTTAATTGAGTGTTAATTCTGTTTTTATTATAATTATTTTTCGTTAACATTGAAAAGAGAGACAGATTTTTACTTAAGATATTCTAAAATGAATTGATAAAACAACTTTTTCGGCAATCTTAAGGAATGTAATGATAGGAAAAAGATGTAAGAAGAGTATTGATGAATTTTATAAAATTGTGAGTAGAGAAAATGATATTGTCGAAATTATGATTTAGGTCTATCCCGTTATCTGGTCGGGATGAAGAATCAACAAACGTGATTCCATCCCTATATTTCGAAAATCGATCGTTGGGGAAAAGGAACAAATCCAGAAATGAACGCTAGAATCTCGAACGCATTGTTGGAAGAAGACGTTCTTCTTTTCCAAAGGATGAAGCAAAAGATTGTAATTTTAAGGAGAAAGTGAGTAAGTATTTAGAGACTGCTTTAACGTAAGATCTGTGTGTAAAATGGTCTATATGCAGAGGACCCTGTCGATGAAGATCATAAATTTTCGAAGTGATTTGATAAAAGAAATTGATTGAAGAAGAAAGATTAGATAGATGCAGATTTACTACTTCTAATAATGTCTTTTACATTTAATAGCGAAATTTTATCTGAAACATGAGTAACAGAGTGAAATCTAAGATATACATATAAGACGAGCTGATAATCACTGGATAATTTATATAAAACATGGATAATTATGCATAAAAAGGGTCTACACAAATGTGTTATTGACGTATGTTGTGAAGATGTTATCCCTGATTAGTATTCTGAAGATTTTAGCCGGCGGTAGTTCTTTATTCAAAAGTTATTAACAAATAAATGTGAGAAATATTGACATAAAGATTCTACTTTATTTGTTCACCGATATGCTTCATTTTTAAATATGTTATAAGGGAGATTTTCCCGAGTAATTTCATATATATATATATATATATATATATATATATATATATATAAGAGTCGGACTCAAATAGTTTTGGAGATATAGGCTGAAAAAGGATAAAAATAATAAATACAAAAATAAGGTAAATCTTCGGAAAACCTACATGAATCTATATGAAATAATGAGTAAGAATATTTCTTACCCAATTTTTACGTATTTTTACCTCCTGAACACGAATATGAAACTTAAAAATAGCGGTCGAATTCGCAAGTTGAAAGAAAACACAAAAAAAGATAAATTAAAGATAAATAAAAAATGTAAACAATTTAAATTTATATAGAATTTAATACAATTTAATACAATTTAAAAATCACAAATGTATGTGTATACACACACACACGCGCGCGCGCGCGGGGGGGGGATTCAAGCGGAGCCTTCGCCCTCCCACAGCCGCCCCGCCAGTAGGGGACGCATTACGAAGAGTTCAATCACAATGGATATATGTTGTAAGTTGTAAAGCGAGGTCCATCTTGCCTACTGGCAGGATGGTGGCGGGAGGGGGGTCGAAGCCCCCCTTGCACCCCCCGCGCACGTGTGTGTGTATGTACACATACATTTGTAATATTTTTTAATTGTATTAAATTGTATTAAATCTATATAAATTTGAATTGTATTAAATGTACTTAAAATTATTATTTTTTTATATAACAGCTAAAATAGTAGGTTTATGAAAAAAATGCTATAACATTTTTTGTAGTTTTTTAGCGGTTTTATTTTTAGCTTAAAATTTTTTTTCTCAAATCAATATTTTCGGAGATAAAAAGCATTAAAATTGTGAAATTCTTTGGTTAATAATTTTTTAATAAACAACAACTGCCAGCTAAAATCTTCAGAATATTAATTAGAGATATGACCTTGACCACATATGTCAATGACACATTTGTGCGAAGGTGGGCTTTTTTTATGTGACAGTTCGATTTTTCGGTCTCGGCTCGCGGATAGTTCGCCGGGTAACGCAGGGGAAAATAAAATAAAATAAAATAAAGTAAAATTGCAAGATGAATTTATTAGGCGTGAAAGAGTATGTATACGCACCGGTAGGAATGGTGTCCCGATATGCTTGTGTTGACGCTTACTGACGTCATACTCACACAAGCGCGCATGTATGCGAGCCGGGCAGCGGGAGAGAAAGTGGGGGTAGAGTAGTGGGGAGCATTCCGATGTTGCGTCCTTCACGCACGGCATAAGAGCGAGAGAGAAAGCACTATAAGACGTGATACCGAGTTTCTCTTGAATTATTTCTGATGATCCCTTGGCATAAAATGCGGAACAGTAAGAAAAATAAAGATTGTACAATCTTTTAATTTTTAGTCACAGATTAAATCATTGACTGTTTTTCTTGTTTTGTATGTAAAATATTCTATTTTTTTCCATTTTACTTTTCTCTTATTCTATATTTTTCTTGTTTATGTAAGAATATTTTATTTTTTTAATTTCTAAAATATTTTTTCTTATATTAGTAATTAATTTTCTCATTGTTATTGGATAAGAAAACTCTTGAATAGATATTCTTAGATATTCTTTGAATATTGGGCAAGTTGATATTAGGGGATCACCTCCGATGAGCTTTACCTTGACATATGTTATCAAGGTCACTGTCCTGAGTAACATGCAAAAGATTTTAGCCGTCGCTCGTTGTTTAAAAAGTTAACAAAAGAAGTTTTATGAACTTCACATAATTTTCAAATACCATGTACAATAACAGATCTCTTGTCGTATTGAAAGTTATAAACTAATAAACGTTTATTATTGTACGATTTCACATAGATTTGTAACTTTCTATTTATAACTTTCTTTTCTGCAAAGTGAAGTGTATCCCGTATCACAAACACGGGTTGAGTTAGGTTATATCTTCTGAAAGTGGAGTCCCCCGTAAGGGGGCGGAACATACTGTAGCTATGCATGTACTTCCTAAGATGAAGCAAAATTATTCTTAATGGAGGTCAAGATTATATGCTTCATCTTGGAAAGTACATGCGTGAACAGTATGTTCCGTTCCCCTGCGGGGGGCTTTATTTTCAGAAGATATAACCTAACCCAACTCGTCTTTGTGATGCGGGATACACTTCATTTTGGATAGAAAGGTACAAATGTAACATTTTTCGCGCACAAATAGTTTAATAACGCATCATATTTTGTTGTTAAAGAGAGAAACTCGAACTTCATGTTAACTGTACAACAATCTGTCTTGTACTACTAACTCACCTTTTCTTAAATATTTTCAAAGTCATAAGAAATATCAAAAACATAGAAGCCTATCATTGTTCTACTATACTGATTTCAATATAAGGAAGTTAAAATATGTAACTTTCAATGTAACAAAAGGTATGTTATTATACATTTCTTATATTATAATCTATCTTATATTATAATCAATGTACTTGGTAAGATCAAAGAAATTGAGATGTTTTTCAATACATTTATTCACATTTATAACTTCTAACGCGATAAGAGTTATCTGTTATTGTACATAGTGTCCGAAAATTATGTGAAGTTCGTCAAATTTCTTCCATTTATAACTTTTTAATAAATAACGAGCGACGGTTAAAGTCTTTTAAAATGTTAGTCAAAATAGTGACCTTGATAACATATGTCAAGGTGAAGCTCATCGAAGATGAATCCCCTAATATCAACCTTTACCTAATTTTGTAATTGATTCCTACTTTTAAATACAAATTAACGTCAAATGTGACAAAAATATAATATAATGGTTTTTTTGTTGAACGCAACCATTATTATCATTATGAGATAAAAAAGTTGAGACATCTCTTTATGCCTACTTTATTTATGTTGTTTTTATTATTTTCTTTAAAATTTATTGAATGGAGAATTGGTGTGGATGGCGATGGATTGGAAAAATAGGTCCGCCGGTAAATAATGTCTTTTGCCAAAATAAAAGTATTAAAATTATTACTTTCTTTATGAACTAATATGTCGTTGAAAAAGACAAAGTACATTCAATTTTTCAGTTATAGAAAGCTGAATTCAAGAAAAGTACTGAAAACCCGCAAAGTAATTCAAAATGAGCCGATTTGATGAAAATATTTCGAATAATCAAAAATATGTATGAACGCACAAAGCGCATTCAAGATGTTTCATTCATCATCGAAACAGTGAATAGTATTCCTTATATTGATTGTTTTAAAAATATCGGAACTCTGGAATAACTTGAAAGGATTTAAATAACTTGAAAGTTTTTAAATAAATGTTATATAAAATTGTTTAATTTCGAGAATTCTATTTTGTGATGTCCTCAGATTTTGGATTTGAGACCCAGTTTGGATCCTATAAGACTCCATTAAATTTTTTCAAATGTTTTTTTATGGTGGATTTGTATTGAGCACGATTTTTTTCTATTTGGATTAGTTTGGACTTTAAATCCATTTTGGGTTTTCTGAGGCCCAAGATTATTTAAGAAAAAAAAATCTCGGTAATTATACATAAAAGAGGCTTCCTCTCCGATTTGCTTTATTTTTAAATATGTTATAGGGGAGATCTTCCCGAGTAATTTCGTATATATATATAAGAGTCGAATTCAAATAGCTTTGGAGATATAGACTGAAAAAGGATAAAAATATTAAATACAAAAATTCGCGTGGAAAGTCGCAAATGTAGATATTATACTTTTACCATATCATATATGTTTAAGAAGAAATATATTTAATGAAATATATTTAATTTATTTAAGGGCAACTAATTCCGAGCACTGATTTAATAGAATATATGTATGTAAACTTTGCTTGCAACTTGTCTTGCAAAGTACATGCAGGGACACCGCATGTTCAACCCTACGGGTGGGCTCTACTTTCAGAAGATATAATCTAACTTAACCTGCGTCTGAAGTGTAATAAATACCTTGATATATGACATTTCGCTTTACATGGTTCATATTTATATAAGTTTGTAACTTTCTATGCGAAGCCAGGTATACTCCACACTTCAGACACGGGTTGGGTTAGGTTATATCTTCCGAAAGTGGAGTCCACCTTAACGGAGCGGGGGACGGAACATGCGGTGTCCCCGCATGTACTTTGCAAGACAAAGTAAAGTTTACAAATACATATATTCTATTAAAATTATTTCTGTATTTATTATTTTTATCCTTTTTCAGTCTATATTTCCAAAACTATTTGAGTCCGATCCTTATACAGGGTCTCATGAAATATTTCGCAGTCCCGAAGTGTGAAGGTAGATTGGTTCAAATTAAGAAGCAAGGTCCTATATTATTTTGCGATATTCGCAATAATTAACGAAAAATTAATTAAAGAAGATTGGCCAATGCGCGTGGGTAGAAGTGCGTGGCGGTGAAGGCGGTCTCACTGTAACATAATGGCGGTGCGCGGTAAAGCGATGATTGGGGAGGGGAAGAGCCTTCGCCGCGCGCCTACACACTCATCCCCAGATAGCACAGAATATCCTATGGACATTCATTTTATGTCCATTTTACGTCCGCACGTTCATGGACACGAAA